CGACACAACACGGCGCATCCTTTGTGCTCCGCGAGTCGGAAGCGACAACGTCAGTCGACCACACCTGTCGCTCTTCGCCATGGCTGAAGCAAGCAACTCGTGTCGCCGTGTGCTGGTCACCGGTGCGTCGGCAGGCATTGGCCTTGCGGCAGCGCGCAGGTTTCTGGAGGATGGGGCTCGGGTGGCGCTGCTCGGCCGCAACAAGACGACCATGGCGGCGCTTGCCGAGGAGTTTCCCGAGTCGACGTCGGTCATCGGCGTGGATCTGGCCAAGGCCGATGCGGCGGCCGAGGCGGTGGTGAGTGCAGTTGAGGCGCTCGGCGGGCTCGACGTGGTCATCAACAACGCAGGCGTGCTCGGCAAGCCCGGGTGTGCGCTGGAGGACATCGAGCTCGACGACTGGGCCGCGGTGATGAAGGTCAATCTCAAGGCGCCGTTTGTGGTCACCCAGGCCGCAGTACCGGCGCTGAAGGACTCGGCTGCAGCAGGTCGCTCGCCGGTGGTCATCAACATCTCGTCGCTCGCCGGTCGCCGAGCCTTTGCTGGCCTGCTGCCGTACTGCGTCTCCAAGGCCGCGCTCGATCAGCTGACCCAGTGCCTCGCGCTGGAGCTCGCCCCGAGGGCATCCGGGTCAACGCCATCCAGCCGGCCACCGTCCGCTCGTCCATTCTTCGCGACTCGATGAACTCGGTCGAGTATGAGGCCCATCTCGAGCGCTCTGCCGCTCTCCATCCGCTCGGCTTTACTGGCGAGCCCGAGGACGTGGCCGAGCTCATGCTGTTCATGGCTTCGCCAAAGGCCAAGTGGATGACCGGCGCCCTTGTCCCGCTCGACGGCGGCCGCTCGTTGGTCTGCTCGTCAGCAGGCTCTGGCTCGCTCTATGCCCACAAAAGTAAATGCAATATCATGGCGATCGCCGTCACGACGACGACGACGACGATGATGATGATGATGATGACGATGACGACGACGAGCCGAGCTGTGACGACGATGATGACGACGACGACGACAAAACCGATGCACCGAGCAGCGATGAACTCGATGAATTTCCGCGGCTGGACGAAGACAGCGACGACGATGATGACGAACTAGAGCTAGAGCTGGAGCCGTAACTCGAGCTCGAGCTGGACGAGCACGAGTCGAGCGAGCGCGAGAGTGTGGGCATGTAGCGGCGGTGGAGGACGCCGATGTTGTCGTCACCGCCGGACGTCTCCGACGAGAGACGCTCGGCCGGAAGGCCCTCCCACGAGACCGGTAGCTCGAGGAGATGGCGAAGCGAGAGATGGAAGACTAGCTTGCAGAAAGCCTTGAACTCAAGCCGGTCGACATACCCGTCCTCGCCGGTGTCATAGAAGCGAAAGGCGGCACGGATGAACCTGTTCGCAGGCATGTCCATGCCCAATGCCGACGAGATGCGGCTAACAACCTTCTTGAACTCGTCAATGTCGATGGTCCCGTTCCCGTCGATGTCCACCTCCCTGTACGCCTGGTCCGAGGCCTTGCGGAACCGGGACGGATCCGTCAGAGCCAGCTGTAGGTTGAGCCGCTCGATGCTGGACTCGATCTTCATAATCTCCAAGTCGAGGAGAATCTCCGCCAGCTGAGTCATGCCTTCGATGTCAATCTCAGGCTCTTCCTGCGAGAGATCGCTAAACGAGATCCGCAGCTCGTCCTCACTCGGCATGTACTGCTCCAACTCGAGCTCGGTCATGCGATCGTTGACGCAAGTCACAAACTCGTCAAACGACATGAGCCCGTCCGCATTGGAGTCGTACCGTCGAATGAACGCTTCTGCCATCGTCTCCCGTCGGATCTCATCCTTGATGGTCCCTCGGAGATTCCTCAGCTCCTTGTACATCTCCTTGAGCAGGCGCTTATGCTCGGCCTTGTCGACACTATCCCCCCGCTCTCCGCTCTCTGTGAGCCGTCCTCCCCCTCCCCCCTCCGACGCACACGTACACGCACTCATAAACACACAGTCCATCCATCCATTCCACGTACTCGGTCAGTCCCAGGGCTTCCCTGTCGTCGTACGGCAGCCGTGTGTCCTCCAGGATGTCTGCATGGGTCATGAACCGCGGGTCCTTGGGCACCGACTTGCGCAGCGCTGCCGCCGCTAGCGCCGCCCCACCCAGCGCGCCCTGTGCACTCATACGTCCTTGCCCTTGTACCCCCCTCCCTCCCTCCCTCCCTCCCTTTGTGGGAGTATGAGTGGGGTGTGTGGCAGTGGCATCGACTCACTCTGACATCATGTCCCCGCCTGTCCTCCCATGCCCCCCACCTGCCGTCACCGCACACCGTCACCCACCACCACCCCACCCATCACCACCACCACCACCACCACCACCACCACCCACCCACAGCCACCATGCCGGGCGGGATAAGTCTCAATGCGCTCCTAGCCGACGGTGAGGCTGCTGAGAGCATACGGCGGGCTCGCGAGCTGTCCATGGCCGTAAGGGTGACCACTCGCAGGGTGGGCGGCAAGCTGCTTCCGCCCTCCTTCACCGGTGCTGATGCCGTCGACTATGCCATGGCTGCAGGCTGGGCGCCCACCCGATCGGCGGCGCAGGACGTGCTGTCGCCGCTTGTCGACATGGGCTTTGTCACGCGCCTCGATGCCCATGCGCGTGGGGCTGGGGCGGGCCGCTTTGTCGACGGCAACGCGTACTACGCCTTTGACAACGCAGCGCTCTCCGTTGGCGAGTCGGCAGCGTCGCAAGCCCAGCAGAACCTGGCGATCTTACAGGACTACACCGCCGAGACCAGTGTTGAAGACGCTGTTGCTGCTGCTCTTGACGCCGTCTTTGCCCTTGACGTCCTGCCCAAGAACCCGTACTACTCGCTCATCGCCGATCTGCGTCCGCTAGAGCAGCGGTACATTATGGCCGACGGTCGGCCGTACGACGAGCTCGTAACCGCGCTCAAGACACCGACCGCGATCCCTGATCCGGACACTGGGATCACCCATCCCGAGGGCAACTTTGACGTCTGGGGCCTTGCCTCGGTCCTCCGCGCGACCTCGCCGCTTGCCCTCTCCACCCTCGCAAAGGCGCTCGGTCCGCTGCTCGCCCATGTCAACCTGGCGCTGCCTGGTGGCGGCAGTGTCCCGGTCTACACTGCCTTGGTTGGGCCGCACGTCTTTGCGCATGCCGTGATCACCCACCCCGGCGCTCCGCTGCGGCTGAAGCAGGAGCTCTTCTTCGAGTCCGACTCCATCGAGGCGGTCCTCGACCACTTTGCCACTTACCTCCGCAACACGGCGCTGGCCGTCATTGACGGCCCGGGAGCAAATGGCGACTCGCCGCCGCCAGATCTACTGGCACCGCCGGCTGAGGTCTTGCCCGAGTGGCAGGCGCTGATGTTTGTCGGCTGTCACGTCGCCGCCACCGATCGGACCAAGACCAAGCCGCGCAAGTGGACAGCCGGCGAGATCCGCGACCAGCGCCGGGCCTTTGTCTCCAAGGTCAAGGCCGCCGTCATTGATCAAGGCGCGCTGCACATGGAGCTAGTGTGGATTCCGCCCAAGTCGCGTGTGGCTGCCGGCGGCAGCAGCTCAGTCGGCCGTCGCCGCAGAAAGCGGGTCCGCCGCCGCGTCGCCCGCCTTACCGCCTCGGGCAAGCCGCCCGTAGGCGAGTACTCGCCAGTCCCGGTCCGCATTTTCCTCGAGTTTGGCCTCCACGTTTGCAACGCGACAACAGGCGCGAGCCAGCACTTTGCATCGCGACCGCTTGCCACTCTTCTGCACGGCGTGTTCTTCTCGAAACGCGATGCTGAGAGCTATGTTCGCAAATGTCTTGGAACGTCTGGAGCTAGATCGGTCGAGGCCGCGCAAGCCGACGCCGACGGCACCGCCACCCGAGCTGCGCAGCTGGCCGCTGAGGCCGCTGCTGCCGCCCAGTCGCCGGTTGTCTTCCAGAATGCGCTTGAAGCCGCAACCCATGCCCAACGCGAGGAGATCATGACCCGTCTTCATGCCGCGCTACCACGCGGCGACGTCCTGGCTGTTTTCTACCTTGCGCTGCTATATATGCTCACACTGCCGTCGGCTGCAGCCGCGCCGCTCATGCCCTCGCTCTACCACCTGTTTCGGTCGTCGGCAGCGCGGCTGGCCGCCATCAACGAGATCAACGCGCTCCTGTCCGCCATCGTGAGCGACTGTCTCGCCGACCCGCGGCTCGGCTCAGAGCTTGGCCTTCTTTTTGGTGCTTACGCTGATGAGCTCATCCACGTTCTTGCCATGTCAGCATCGTCCGAGTTTGTCCACGTCCGCACTCGCGTCGCCGACACGCTAGCCGGAGTCCTCCGCCAGCCCAAGAACCGAGTCCACACCGGAACGGCTGTAGTGCTGGCAAGACTAGCGACAACGACCAAGCTGCTGTCTATTGCGGTCGCAACCGACGCTGCAGCCGCAGGTCAAGATGTTCAGACTGCGCTCCTGGACTGGATGCGCAGTCACACCGAGCTCCTCAACCGGTTGACCGAAGACGCAGCCGCGGCGGCAGCAGCGCGAGTTTCGACTGGCATCGATGCCGGTTCCGGCGCCAAGTTTGCGGCGGCGGCGGCGGCGCCGCGCGGAACGGCACAAGCCGATGCTGATGACCGACCAAGCTCCAGCGTACCGGAGCCTCGGCGGGCGGCAGTGCCCGACCGTCCACGTGCTGCTCGTGCCCGTGGAACGGGTGAGCTCTTCGGCATGGACGGCGGCGTCCGCGGCGGTGGGCCGAGGTCCGAGTTGCCTAGCCTCCCGAGCTCCGCCGACGAGCCGGCGTCGGTAGTGCTGTGGCACGAGGTGGTGGCGAGCCTTGCTGCTGAGCCGTCGGTCGAGCGCCATGTCATCTACGTGGCCGAGGCGGTGAAGCGAAACATGCGAACTGCAGCGACACCTGTGGCGATTGCGCGCGAGGGCGTGCTATTGCAGTACGTGGTCGATACCGGCCTGGACAACGTGCTGAAGGAGATGTGGATGGAGCTGTTTACTGGTGAGCTACTCCCGCCGAACCCTTACCCGCATGTGGTGCAGCGACTCAAGCGTGGGCTGCTCATGTTTGACATTTACGCGGAGACCGACGAGCAGGTGCGAGCGTTCCTGCTACAGCCGACAACGCTTGTAGATGAGCGGACGCAGGTGTACTGTGCCGCCGAAGCTGACGCTGTGGTGTATGGCACGTTTGCCGCGGTCAAGCTCGCGTCGCCGGCCGCGGTGAGAGCGCTGCTTGTGGAGCTTGGCGACGCCGCCAACGCGCAGATCATTCCGACGCTCGGCAACGCATCGGCAACTATCTCGACCGGACTGGCCGGTCGGACGTGCCTCTACGGTAAGCTGTACAAGCATGTAACCTCGCTGCATGTGGTGGAGAACTACTACGTCTCAGGGCCCGAGTTCTTTGAGGCGCTCGAGCTCTTTGTCCGCAACGTCTTCTCGAACGTCGTCTTTCTCCACGACGAGTCGCCGCATGTGGTGCGCAAGCTAGCGCTCGGCGCGAGCGAGTGGACGCCTTCGGCGATGAAGGCGAACCTGAAGGATTTTATCCGTGCAACGCAGCGGGCGGTCGAGGCTGCCGACGGCGTTGTCCTCGACCTGCTGTTTGTTGTGGGAACACAGTACGTGAAGATGGCAAAAGAGTTTCGGTTCCACCACGTGGTCGGCTCTGGAGATGCCGGTACCGATCATTACGCGCCGTTTGACATTGTGGACCTCTACTTTACGGTCTACTTTTCGGCCGAAAAGGCGAGCACTGCGGTGGGTTACGCCGAGCTTAACGGCCGAATCGACGCTCGGAGCAACATCAAGGCTGTCGGCTCTGCGCTGAGACGATCGGTCGGCGACGCAATGGCGGAGCACGATGTGGTGACGGCGCTAGAGCGCCTGGTGCAGTACCTGGTGGTGCGCGGCGAGACGGCGTTGCTGCCTGCGCTGGCGCGGGTGCTCAACTCGCCCGTGGCCCGCATCCGGCATCTGGCGTCGATGGTGGGCGTTCTGCGGTCGCTCATTGTCGAGTGGGGCTCGCTGAGACTCGGTGTGCGGCTCAACGTTGTGGCGGCAATGATCCACGAGCTCACCTATCGGCTCAACGAGTTCCTGCAGTCGGAGAAGGGCGTGTACATGCAGGGGACCGGGGCGTATGTGGAGCACCTGCTGAGTGGACTGGTCGACCCGATCAAGCACCCGGTGCTCACACCCGACAGTGCCGATGCGCTTGCAGAGCTCGCAGAACTGCTGGCAATGATCGAGAACGATGTGGCCGGGACAATGCTCGAGCTCGAGCCGGCGCTGCTTGGGGTGCTGTATGCGGTGGCCAAGTAAGCCGTTTACGCCCGAGGTGGGTGGTACGACGGGTCGAGGTCGACGTCGAGGAGCCTGAGCTTGGAATCCGGCACGGGCCAGTTGCGCTCGACAACCATTTCGGTGATGAGCGGCGGATCGGCAATCATGCGCATGCCCGGCTGGTCCTTGGCGGGCAAGTTTGCCATCTTGTCGGCGAGCTCGAGACCCTCGACGACGACGCCAAAGACAGTGTAGCCCGGCGAGTTTGCGTTCTTGTCGAGATGCGGAGCGTCGCCAAGGAGAATGAAGAAGTCTGTAGAGGCCGAGTCGGGGTCATCCCAGCGGGCAGCGTTGATGCCGCCGCGCTTGTTGAGCACGCCGTACTCGAGCGGGATGTTGCCGTAGGGCGAGGCGCGGCGCTCGCCGTCTGCTGTGACAGGGCCGGTCTGGAGGCCGAACCCGGGCTCGCCGCGGTAGAAGATGGCGCCGTCGAAGAGGCCATCTTCGATGAGATCGGCAAAGCGCGCGCAGTGCTGGGGCGCATGTTCGTTCAGCATGACCCACCGGATGGTCCCATACCTGGTCACCATCTTGACCGTGTCGCGCAAGGTCTGCGGCGGCGGTGACGGTGCTCGACTCGGCGGCGGGACTGGCGGCGGGTTGGCCAACGACATCATGGTGCTCGTAAAGTAACACAGATACATGACCAGTACGCATGCAAAGCATGCCAGCATCTGGTTTGACCGCATGCTGTCGCTGCCGAGGCCCAGAGTGAGGTGGGTCGGTTTCCGGTTGCGGCCGAGGCTCGGGACGCTTGACGGCCGGTGGCTGACAGGTCCTCGCGGGAGAAGTAAGAGGCAGATCGGCCCATCGTGTGTTCATTGGAGGCGGGGGGGGGGGGGGGGGGGCGTATTCTACGCATCGGCATGGTACTCCAGCACTTCGGCGTGCTCTTCAAGAAACGGCATGCGTGCAGTGAGAGAGGAGAGGCGCTCGTGGGCGGCGAGGGCGGCGTCAAAGTCCTCGGCAGCAACGGCCTGAGCTTTGTCGGCCTCGACGGCAGCGATGGCCTCGGCCCGCTGCTTGAAGACCTTGGCGACAAGAAAAGCCTCGCGGGCGATGCACTCGGCCTTGGCCGCGCCCAACTCGGAGAGGGTGAGCGGCTCCTCGGCCACGGTGGAGAAGGAGGGTAGAGCGGCGACCATGCCTCGGGCAGTGCGAACCGGGACAATGGCGTCGCGCGGCGGCGGGGCCAGTCCCGACTGCGTCGGCGCGTCGTCGCTGTCTGTGCTCTCATTGCTGAGCGGCGGTGGACCGGCGGCAGCTGCCGGTGCAGCGTGTGGGCGAGGACTGGCCCGCGGCGATGCGGCACGGAGCTCCTCCAGCCGGGCGCGCTCGGTGGCAAGGTCCAGCTTGCGTCGCTCCGACTCGGTCTCGATGGCGAGGCGGGTGAGCGAGGCGGCTTCGCGCTGGACGGTGACCCGCATCAGCTGCGCCTCGACTCGGGCGAGTGCGTCCTCGCGGGCGCGTACGTAGCGGGCGTAGTCACGCTCAGAAGCAAGGGCCATGACCTGGCTCTCGGCCTCGAGGACAACAGCATCAACGTCGCCGAGTGCAGCGTCGACAGCAGCGACAGTAGCCGCCAGCCGTGTCATCCGCGCTGACGCCTCCTCCAGTTCCTGGAGCACTTCGGGCAGCTGCGCGAGTGCCGATCGCAAGGCGAGGATGTCCGCCACGGCGTTTGCCGCCTGCACATCGACCGCCTTGGCGGACTTGGCCACCGCTGCCGCGCTCGCCGCCACTGCCGCGGTACGAGCCTCCAGTGCGGCCGCCGAGTGTGACGACGCCGCCGACAGTGCTGCACCCGCCACCTGCGGGTGGAACTCGCCAGCCGGCAACGTGAGCCGCCC